ATAAAATCCTGGTTATACGATGAGCAGAAGCTCAGTTGGACCATTTTAACCCTTCATGCTCCAACAGGGAGCGTCTTCCTGTCCAAGGGTTGCTGTCGGCTGGTTCTAAGAGATCCAACCAGATTTAATCAGCCTGTAGTTTCCAAGCAATTTCATGCACTGATGATGAATTTGACGCTTTTGATTGATCTGGTTACCGTGGGAACGTTCCTGTTCATTGTACACCATAGTTATTTCTGAATATATATGTCTGTATCCTAACTCTGAGGTAAATGTTATCCACTTAGGATCCACCTGTGCCTCCAGGTGAGGAACTCCTTTCTTTAATCTGATGTTATATTAATGCTTGGATCCAAACCTCGACCAACTCATCGCAGCCTGATGGATAGACAGCAGTGACCTCTGACCCTGCAGACCAGTCAGAGGGGTTTGGACTGAGACTCCGTCATCAGATAGAGGAGCATAGCTGGGATTTCTGCAGCCTGCTGCTGACATTTGCAAACAGCTCTCAGGTGTGAATGTGTTCCTCCTGGATAGAAATGGATGCAGCTTCAGGCTCCTTTATTCAGATAAAATCATTTCCTGCAGAACAGATGATGAAGTCCCTCATCTTAGAAACATTCATTTCCCACTTTATTCCCGTCAGGCAGAAGCAGTGGGAATGTTCTTTGTTTAGCGTCTGCAGGTTTGCTGCTAGCTCAGTTATTATGTTCAGCAAAAACACCTGTTAATATACACCAGGAGCTCTTTCTTAAAGTCTAATCATTTGCCTAAATATTCAGTATTCTGTCTTTAGAGACTAGCTTCATCTTTTGTTGTTCCCTCCAACTTTAGCTTTGCAGAAATGGTCCTCATCGTTTCATTATTGTTCCTTATTGAGAAGTGTGGATGCAGATAGCAGGGAATGGACGCATGTGTTTGTTCCTGTAGTGCAGCAGGTCTGGAGGGGCATGGTGTCTAAATATGAACAGTTTGGTGGGTGGGCATATTCTAGGCTCTCTGAGTGTCTCTGTGTGATTAGAGTGTCAGTCTCTGTGGGGGAGGAAGAGTTGTAGAAGAAGGAAAAGTAAATGTGTGAACATGTAATTAGAGTGAGAGCTGGAGGTGCTGCCTGTGCAGCTTAATATAGTGGCTGTCAAGAAGTCATCACTCCCTATCTTTGGAAAAGTGTTGCTCTTCACCCACTGCTGCCTGCCGCCGTGCCTCTTCCCCCCCCACGACCAGCAACAGATGCAGCAGAAAAAGGTTCTGCACTGATAGAGAACTTCATGACTGGGATTATTTAAACAATTATTTCTCCACAGCAGAGACTCTGGTCATCCTCTGTAAACGAAAACATGATTTGCAGCGTTCTGCAGAGTGAAGGGAGAAAGTCAGCGCAATCTTTCAATGATTTACCGCTCATGGTAACAGTTAGCATGGTTTACCGGCTCATGGTAACAGTTAGCATGGTTTACCGGCTCATGGTAACAGTTAGCATGGTTTACCGGATCATGGTAACAGTTAGCATGGTTTACCGGCTCAT